ATACCCAAGTACTTTCAACTGTATCTTTCAACTGTAGTCATCTTCAGGCATGGAAATTATTATGTTTTTGGTAAAATTCAGGTAGCATCCGAAACGAAAAAATATAATACGAATGTTTTTTTTTGGTTTTGTTTTTTTTTAATGTGTTATTGTTAAAAGATACAAAGTTTTGGGGGCGTGCAGTCGCAATGCTATGGTTGAATGTTTTGAAAATTTAAGAGAGTGCGTTTTTGATTAATATGGCAATTTGAGAATTTTTTTGTTGTAGGAGTTTATCAGTCAACGTTGGCATGAACTAAATTGTTTAATAAATAGAGTAATGTTTCAGTTGTTATCGTAAAATTTTTCATGTCGGATCAGTTCTTTTAAATCAAATATGTTGTGCAGTTCATTTTATATTACAATGAATCATTCATACAAAAAGTAGATTAATATAGTTATATTTATATCATTAACTTTATTTATCTACTTTTTGTGGGAATGATTCATTGTAATATATATATATATATATATATATATATATATATATATATATATATCTTTTAGATAGATAGAGATGAACAGAGTGTGACAGATAGATAGATAGAAACAGTGTGGATGTAAAATCAACGCTGCCTGCTGACTTCATCTTCCGCGGTCTGTCTGTCTATCTATCTATCTATCTATCTATCTATATATATATATATATATATATATATATATATATGAATGTGTGTGTGTGTGTGTGTGTATGTGTGTGTATGTGAGTGTGAGCATTTTTATGTGCGTGTGTGTAATGAGTAATAAAAATGTTGGATTAAAAATAGAGCCATTGATAATTTAGGAATTGCTTTGTGTACATCTCTATCTATAAAAGGCAGGATGCGTGTGTGTGCGTGTGTGTGTGTGCGTGTGCGTGTGTGTGTGTGTGTGTGTGTAATGAATGCATGGCTGCAATTTTCGACGGATTTGTACCAAAATTTACATGCACATGCTCCAAGTTAGTGGGAAGGCCAAGACTGACCTTGCATTTCCCAACTCCCATCGATAGTAGAAATAATCGATTTTTTCATGCTTCTACAGCAGTTTTCATGTAGTTTGCGGCCATTTTCTACTGGCCAGAGTGAGAGCCAATAGCTGGCTGAAACGAATAGGCAGGAAGATTCTATTGGTCAGCGTGAGAGCTAACAGCTGACGGACACGAATGTTAGCTAGCATGCAAAAAAATCGATAGCTGCATTTGTCACAAGTGGGTAAAATTTAAATCTGCATGGCACTTTACTCCAATTGGCTCATTCGCTTGCTTAAACTCAACGTTGATTCTGATTCCGCAGAACTGGGTTGGGTGTGAAAAAGTATCTGTTATTAACATTCTTTTTTCATTCGTTTTTTTTTCCAGTTACGAGTCCTTTTTTTAAAGCTGATCGTATTGTGTTCATTTTGTTTAGTTCTTTTTTCGTAACAGATTTAATGTTTAATATAGAGCTTAGAAAAAATTCACAGTGTGAGATAGGCAAGAAGTAAGGCGTGTAGCAACATCAGCACGGCAAAGGGCACTCCTTTAAAGGCAAGGAAAATATTAAAAGTCAAGTGATAGCGATTGCTGTATGAGTCGTACGATTTTTTTAATCAAGCACGGCAACGTATATATATATATATATATATATATATATATATATATATAAGTGAAAATGTGTGTATATAAATATAAATATATATATATATAATATATAGAAGCGAGAGCAAGATCTAAAAGGTCAGCCAATCTAAGAGTGATCTCATCTCATAATCCTCACACTTGCTCCATATGTGGCCTACTTTGTAAATCATTAGAGGGTCTTAAATGCAACTTAAAATTATCGCAAAAACATTCATAACTGAATCAATAAGCTGTCAGATTCTCATACGTCGAAACCGACGGTAGAGTCCATTATTATTATAATATATTATACATATCATTATTTATATATTATATGCGTGGTACTTATTAGAAAGCGCTCAATATCAGAGATAGAGCTAACATGTTTGCCTGACGATCGCAAAAGCGTGAAACCCAGGGTAACAAACTCACATCAATCCAACCAAATATATATATATATATATATATATAGTTAAAGAAATATACACGAATCGGAGTTTAATGCACAACGCAATATTTAGGTGCTGGGTTATAGACTGCCAATTTAAACCTTTAAAAGATATCTGGTTACCGAAATGTGCGATGGGAAATGTGTCGCTATTTTATATATTTAATTTCGCGCATGCGCGTTATTTGTTTTTGATTTTGTCGACTGCCCGGTATTTTAGGGACACTTGGGCACTGCCTGTGAGAAAAAGTGTACGAACATTTTAAAGTGCTTTGGTGTTCATCTGAGAACTGTGAAGAGGATTCGGAAAATATTGGATTTCTAACGCTGATTACGATGGTGTTGGGAGTAGTGGCGATGTTTTGCCTCCATTCATCTTCCAACAGAAACCTCAGAGTCAACATGGAGGCCTACATCAAATACCTTGAGAAGATAAGTGCTACCCTTGGCCAAGAGGGTGGCTGCAGGAAGATCCTATATCTGGCAAGAGGACTCTGTACCATGCCACACAAGTAGGAGAACCCAATCATAGCTGTCAGATAATATATTCGTCCACATCACTCCTCACATATGGTCACCTAACTGCTCAGACTGCAACCCCCTTGTTTATTATGTGTATATCTTTATATATTTAACAAAGCACACTCGAATCCACATTCACAGTTTAGGCTGATATTGCTCGAAAATACATCAGTGCTTCATCAAGATAATAATAAATGCTTAAAATTCTGGAAGCAATTCATGTAAGAGAATTTGGGGCCAAAAATAAATCAAGTAAATTTATATGTGTGTGTATATTTTTCACACCACTCCTCGCTACCCTCTCTGTTGAATTACATAAACTTAATACTACCCGTCAAAAATGTAAATTTTCATTTTTCGTTTCAACTTTTGATGTCTGAGGATCCAGCGTCCTTTAAAAGGTCTCTGGTGAAATAAATTATAACAATGGAACCTTAAAGTGGTTTGTTTTTCTTTAAATTATTAGCTCTGAATTTACATTGAGCTCTCAGGATATAATCCTCCTTGGGAATACCCATACGGATTACCAAATTTTTCGTAACTTACACATATATATATATATATATATATATATATACAAACACACGAGTTTGTCGTTGCTTTGAAATTTTTCATGCAACAAAAACAGAGTATCATTATTGTTTTGTCCGTGTATTGTTTAATATATTGAAATGTAATTGTCATCTTTGACAATGGCTTATGTAAGCTTAGATAGGATTAAAACATGTATCAATATGGTGATTTCCTTTCGTCTTTCAATGATTATGTGATTAAGCTTACCAGACAATATGAAAAGAACTTACTTTAAATAAATAGATATAACTTGTCTATATTATGTAATGAAACATGCATCAATGGAAAATTGCTGCCTAAATACACACAATTTATATATCTAGTCCCTCCTCCTCCCCCAATACTAAGTATGATTGAGAGAGATATGAAATTAATCCCTCCCTATACTCTACCATGTCTCTTTAACTACTCCTTTTACACTCTCTGTAAAATTACAAAAATTTACACTACCCATCAGTTTTAATTTTATTTTTCGTTTCATTTTTGGAAATGCTATCTGATGATCCGGCGTCCTTTAAAAGGGCTCTGGTGAAATAAATTATTATAATGGTACCTTAACGTGGCCTGCTTTTCTTTAATATATATATATATATATATATATATATATATATATATATATATATATATATATAGTACAGGTAATAAATCCGTTGGTATACAATCCAAAAGGATTCTAGTAATATCAAATATAAAAAAACTGATCCCCAGAAGGAGCTCAATGTATTTATCATAATGGGGCATGTAATTTACACAACTACATCCCAAATTACCTTATTTTGGGATAGATCTATTTCAGCCAACGCGAAGTACGTTGGTCTTGTACAACCTCGTTGATTGGACTGTGTATGTTGGTCTTATATATGTTGTTCTAATTCAACCCCGATGAATGGAGTTCATTGAACGGGGTTGAATAAGAGCAACGTACTTCGTGTTGGCTGAAATAGATCCACACTCCCCATATGAGGTAATTTTGGATTTTGTGGTGTAATTTATATGTTCTGTTATAATAAATTCATTGAGCTCTTTTGTGATTATGTTATGTAATATATATATATATATATATATATATATATATATATATATATATATATATAGGTTATGAAGAACTTGGTAATCCGTATGGGTAATCCCAAGGAGGATGAAATCCTGAGAGCTCAATGTAAATCCAGAGCTAATATTTAAAAGAAATACATTCCACTTTAAGGTACCATTATGATAATTTATTTCACCAGAGCCCTTTTAAAGGACGCCGGATCATCAGATAGCATTTCCAAAAATGAAATGAACGAAAAATGAAAATATATATATATATATATAGATAGATAGATAGATAGAGAGAAAGAGAGAAAGAAAGAGAGAGAGAGATCCAGAAACATTAATTCCGTTTTAACTCCATCATTCTCCTCGCACGATATCCGACACAAGAGCAGCTCGGAATGATCGACTCATGTTTAATGAGTTCAGAAGATGTTAATTAATTTTGTAACGTACCTGATATTATTTGAGTACGTTCTCATAGCCTTGAAGGTGGGACAAAGAAAAGGGTTAGTTGGTACATTTAATTTAACGATGCTCAAAAAAAAAAAAAACTATTTGAGAAAACGTTCTACGCCAGGAATATGACGCAAAATAGAATAATTAATATTGCACTTAATAAAAGATGCTGACAATATCTGTGAAATTGACGCTGTGAACTTAGAATGATGTCAGTAATTAACTTTTTCGAAGGAAGATGATCAACGCATTGATGCAATGATGTAGGTGATGCGTTTGAGAAGAGAACGACATTTTTCTTTTTAATTTTAATTTAACTAGTGTGGTCGTCTACATACACATGTGTTATGAAAAAAGCAGAAATGGAAGGAAAGAAGGGGAGGGAGAAGGGTTACGAGAATGTGAAAGGGAAGGAAAAGAAAGGAAGAAAGAAAGATAGATGAGAATTACAGAGGAAGGATTACGAAAAGAAAGAAGACGGTATGAAAGAGAAGAAAAAAAAGGAAAGAAGAAGAAAATGTTTGAAGGAAAGGAGAGCAAAAATAAGAACAAATGATATGGAAGATAAAAAGAAGAAAGAAAACTAAAAGTGAACGAGAAATGGAAGAAGAAAGAAAGAAAGAAAGAAAGAAAGAAAGAAAGAAAGAAAGAAAGAAAGAATGCGAGGAACAAAAAGCTAGCAATGGAAAGAAAGAAAAAAAGAAAGAAAGAAAAGAAAAGAAAGAAAGAAAGAAAGAAAGAATGCGAGGAACAAAAAGCTAGCCATGGAAAGAAAGAAAAAAGAAAGAAAAAGAAAAAAAGAAAGAAAGAAAGAAAGAATGCGAGGAACAAAAAGCTAGCCATGGAAAGAAAGAAAGAAAGAAAGAAAGAAAGAAAGAAAGAAAGAAAGAAAGAAAGAATGCGAGGAACAAAAAGCTAGCCATGGAAAGAAAGAAAGAAAGAAAGAAAGAAAGAAAGAAAGAAAGAAAGAAAGAAAGATTGCTAGGAACAAAGAGGTAGTCATCGAATGAATGAATGAATGAATGAAAGAAAGAAAGAAAGAAAAAGAAAGAAAGAAAGCAACGCATAGAAAGGAAAGAAATACAAAGAAGATAAGATGAAAATAGCAGAAAGAAATAAAGACAGAAAGACAGAAAGAAAGAAAAATTGAATAAAAAATAGAGCACAATTAGAAAGAAAGAAAGAAACAAACAAACAAACAAACAACAAAAATACAATGAAGATGGGGCAATGAGAAAGAAAGAAAAACGAAAAGAAGAAAGAAAGAACAAAAAGAAAGAAAGAAAGAAAGAAAGAAAGAACAGAAAGAAGTAAAAATAGAATAAAGATAGGGAACAATTAGAAAGAAAGAAATAAGTAACAAAGAAAGGAAGGAATGAAAATATCGAATAATGTTAGGAAATAATTGTAAAGAAAGAAAGACAGAAAGAAAGAATGAAAGAAAGAAAGCGAAAAAGAAAGAAAGAGGGAAATAAATAAGGAAAAAGAAAAAAGAAAGATATAAAAATAGAAAAACGACAAAGAATGACAGAAATAAAGGAAAATGAAAAGAAAGAAAAATACTAGAAAGCGAAAGACTGTAAATGGGATAAGAATGAAAACTAGCGAGAAAAAAAATGAAAGAAAGAATAAAGGAAAGATAAAGAAAAGAAAGAACGTGGAAAATAAAATGTATAATTGATAAAAGAAATGAAGGAAAGATATGACAGGATAGAGAAGGAGAAGAAAGGCGAGAATTACAAAAGAAAACTAAAAGAAGGAAGAAAGAATGAAGAAAAATGAAGAAAATATTGGGAGGATAAGAAGAGTAAAAAAGACAAAAAAATGAAAAGAAAGAAAAAAAGAATATAGATAAAAGAAAATGGAAACGAGAAATGGAATAAAAAAGAAAAGATTTTAAAAAAGAAAGAAAGAAAAGAAACAGGAAATGAAAATAATCAAAAGCGACTGAATGAAAAAAAAAATAAGAATGTAAGCATTCAAAAAAAAGAAAGAATAAAGAAATAAAAAATGAAAATACGAAGAAAATGAACGAAAACATGAACGAAAGAGAAAGAAAAAGAAAAAACGAAAAAAGAAAAGCAATGAAAAATAGAAATAAAAAAGAAGAAAAGCACAATTTCTTTCTTTCGTACTTCAAAGAAAGAAAACATGTGAAGAAAAAAGGAACATTGAAGAATGAAAAAAACAAAAATGCCAAGAAAAGAACAAAACACAGAGAAGAAAACGAATGAAAAAGAAAGAAATAATAATATATAAGCAAATTAAGGAAATAGAAAGAAAAAAGAATAAAAACATTTTTTTTAAGAAATGACGCGTGTAAAGAAAAGAACTAAATGAAAGACTGAAGGAATGAAGGAAAAGAAAAAAATTCAGTGAAAAGAAAAGAATGAACGACTTGAAAGAAAAGGAAAAAAAGAAAAGAATGAACCAATGAAAAGAAAAATGAAAGGAATGGAAAGAAAAAAGAAAAGAAGAAGGAAAAGAAAGAAAGAATGAAAAGAAAGAGCGAATGAAGAGAAAAAGGAAAAGATAAAACGAATGAAAAGTAAAGGGAAATAAATGAACGAATATAAGGAAAATGTAAAAGAAAAAATGGATGAAATGAAAAAACGACAGAAGGAGAAAAAAAGGAGGATAAATAACGAAAGTAGGCAATAAGGAAAAAAATGAATGAATGAAAAGAAAAAGGAAAAGAACGAAAGGAAATCAAAGAATGAATGAAAAGAAAAATGAAACGAATGAACGAATGTAGTGAGAAGGAAAAGAAAGAATGGCCGAAAAGAAAATTGAAAAGAAAGAACGAATTAAAAAAGAAAAAATGAAAAAAATTGAATGGAAAAGAGAAAAGAAAGTAACAATGAAAAGAAAAAGAAAATAATTAACGAAAGAAAGGTAAACGGAAAAGAAAGAATTAATAAAAAAAGAAAAAGAAAATAGAAGGAATGAAAAGAAAAAAGTAAATAAAGGACGAACGAATAGAAGAAAGAAACGATAGAATAAATGAAAGTTAAAAAGAAAAAAAAAACGAAGGAAAGGAAAAACGAAAAGACCGATGAATAGAGGTAGGAAAAGAAAGAATGAATGACAGGGAAAAAAAGGACGAAAAGAACAAAGAAAAAGAAAGGAAAACGGTAAAGAAAAGACGAATGAATAAAAGTAAGAAAATAAAAAAAAAGAAAGTAAAAGAAAGAAAGTAGGAATGAAAGGAAAAAGGAAAGGAAGAGAAAAGAAAAAGGAAAAGAAAAAAGGAAAAAGAAAGGACGAATAAACAGAAGTAAGAAAAAAGAACGACTGAAAGGAACAATGAAAAAAATGAACGAATGATAGCAAAACGAAAAAGAAAGACCGAATGAACGACCAAGAAAGAACGGATGAAAATAAGAATTAAAAGGAAGAAAAAAAGGATAAGAAATGACGAATGAATAGAAGAATGAAAAGAAAGAATGAATGAAAAGAAAAAAGAAAAAAATGAACGAATGATAGGCAAGAACGAATGAAAAGAAAAAGGAAAAAAAAGGACGAAAGAAAAGAAAAAGAACGGAAAAAGCAAAAGAAAGGACGAATAAAAAGAAAAAAAAGGAAAAGAAAGAAAGAATGAAAGAAAAAAAGAAAAGGACGAATGAAAATAAAACGGAAAAGAAATGTAAAAGAAAAAGAAAGTACGAAAAAAGGAAAAGAACGAATCATTAGAATAGGGAAAGAAAAAGGAGTGTATGATAGAGTCAAATTTGGAGTAAAGGAATTTTGCTAATTGGATTTTAACAAATTCGCAATAACCAATGGAACAAGAAAAGAAAAAATACACGTCAAAATGAATACAAGACAAACAATATATCTCCGATCACAGCAATCATACGCTGTTCATGCTTAGCTGAAATCGTTTCTTCAACACATATCCACATAAGCTCTGTGTCTTACTCAGTAATACTATCTATCGAGTAGACCTCGGGCCTTGTACATTGTCAACATCATTGTAATACACACAAACACACGCACACACACACACACACACACACACACACACACACACACACACACATATATATATATTAAGACTTTTTATGTTTATACGTTCTTTTTATAGATACAAATATTTAAGTAAATGCTCTGTTTATAATAAACAGTATTAATGATATTTACCGTCCAATTATAAGCAGAGTAAAAGAACGTATAAACATTAAAAAGAAATGTCTTAAAATGATTGGCAGGCTTCGTATATTTTAAAATGTGTGACCGAGCAGATATGAATGTACGAGAGAAAATCATGGAGAATTGTGTTTAAAAACAGTAAAATCGAACGCTCCTCTGTGGCCCAATTGGTTAAGGCACGTCAGGTTATATGACGGTTTCGTATAGGATACAGGTTCGAATCCTGTCAGAGAACGAATATTCTCTATGAAAATTTCTCGGACATTCAGGCGAGTAAATGTTGTTTAATTCTGTTTATTATAAACAGGGCATGTTAGTAAAATGAATACTAAGGATACCCACGTAGAAAAGGAAGAGATGGTTTAAATCTCGATGAGAAGTGATTTGTTTGAAAGTCTAGCAGATGGTTCGTTTTCATAGACCAGCGGATGGTTCATTTGATAGACCATCGAATAGGAGCTTTGA